TAAAATATAGAATTTGTAATGGACTAGGACCAAAACAATTGTTGATTTTGGAAGTGATTTTATTTCACGAACTATTAATAAAATTTATTTATAGCAATGTTTTAAGAATTACTTATTATAGTTAAGCAGTTTAACTTTTCTAGAATTAGTAATTTTAAAATTGTTGGAACCGATTTAATCGATTAGAAATGTGATTTGGTGTGCACATAAATAATTTTATTGGTTTATCTAATACATGTATACGTACGTGCATAAAAAATTAATTTTTCACATAATTGTAATTAGCAGTGCACATTTTTCACGTATTTTTGATGAATTTCAGACACCAAATCATGGGTCTAAAAATGAATTGATTATACAAGATGGATTATCTGTTCATAAAGATAGATGATTTACGTACATAAAATTTGTGTCACTATAGATAAGCCAAAATTCTAAAGCATGGGAATTTTCTAAAACTTCAATTTTATGCAGGTGCATGCACAAACTCCTAATCGAACACATCATTCTCAGCAGGTAAACATCTCGGTGCCACTCGATTATTAACCGAATAAATATTAATTTGATACAATTATTAATGTTCAAGACCAATTAAACTTTCGTTTTTCAAATCATCCGTGTGTTTTTGTGTCTGATAACGTCCTTAAAGAAAATAAAAAATATGATATTGTATTTGCGATTTCATAGACAAATGTGAACTTTCTCAACTTGACAGGTTTTAACTGCCAAGTTAAGGAGAATCAGGTTTTTTCAAATCTATGATGTAAAGTTCGCTGACACCTGACCCTTTCATTGACTGATATCTCGTTATTAACATATGCAATACAGCAGTTATTTATTACCAATACATTATATGTACTGTAATTACATTATTTATATTATTTATTACCAATACATTATATACTGTAATTACATTATTTATATTATTTAAGTTACATTATAATAACGATAAGTTATTAAATCCAATTCAATTCGGTAATAATAATCGGAAGGAAAACCGCGTTTCGTCCCTTTATAACGGGAATTCTATCTATTATCTTTTTATAGCTAATTCTTCTGTTCGTATATTTCGTCAATAGAGAATGCAAATAAATAAATTTACAGATAATCTTTTTTTCGTATTTCTTGTTTTGTTCTCTATTGTAGCTGATTACTTAAGGAGTGGGAATAAAAGATGATAATATTTACAATTAAGTGCGTGTGTTTGTAATAATAAAAATTAATGTTAATAAAATAGTCCAAATATATTTCAAATATATTATAGTCCAAGCCGAATCAGGGATCGATCTTTTTATTAATAAAAGCCGGATCAGGTATTGTTATTTGTGGTTGCGGTTGCGATTGCGATTGTAGTTCAACTATCGACTCGACTCTAGTGTTAAGAATGTCATCATCACCAAGTCCGCCGCCATTGAGATTCGGTACATTCAAAAAATAATCATTTTGTATAGATGCATTGTCTGGAGGTGTATCAGATTGAAGTCGAAAATAGGGAGCAGGCGCTGCCGACGAGGTATTCACCGAAGTTCTAAATGAAGCAGTTCGGTAGGAGAAAGATTTCATCGGTTTGGGTTTTGCACCATTATTAGAATTCTGTTGTTGGTATTCAGGCAAGACGATTTCCATTGAATTTTGCTCTCCGGGTGGACCTTCTTTACGTTTTCTCAAGATCGTAAATGGATTCTGAAAAATAGTCTTGCATATTTTTTGCCATAATTCTTCGTATTGCTCGAAAGCAAATCTTCCAGTACCAAAACAAATCAAGAATAAGATGATCGACAAAAGCATTTTTAACTCGATCTCATTTGTCGAGAGAAAATTTCTGTTGTCGGGAAAAACACGAAGTAAACGTATCGCGGTTTCATTATCTTCACTTGGTGTCATCAAATATTGTATCGAGCGCGCGAGTAGAATGGTGCATGTTGGTACTCCTGATATTATTAGTAGGCCACACCAGAGTCCCATTCGTATCAGGACATTCTTTGGGATTATCGTTTTGGGATTTGAATGAGAAACTGGAGGTGGACCGCCTCTTGTTACTCGTGTCATGGCACGCGCTTGCTGTTTTATAGGTCCATCGAGAGATGATGTGAATTGACGTGTTTTAAATACTTTTTTACCAACTGGAATCAATGCCAAAGCTAAATACAAGATCCAATTACTCAATTAATCACAGTTTATTATTTATTATAAAACGAATAGTAAAATTTCCTTAAAATTTACCAGAAAGAATAGCTGCAGGGTAAATCGGCAAGAATTCCGGTAAACTAAGCACCATAAATAACCCGATTCTATTTGTTCCATGTCTAGCAATAGTGCAAACACCCGATTCAGGTGCACTATCGAACACACGATCATGATTTACCAGCAAAATAACTAGTCCGGTTAGAGCAGCCGCATACGGCAAAACTAGACACAAGAAACAATATAATTTTTTTAAACCCTCGCTTGTGCGTGTTGCTCGTTGTTTTCTTCGTAGCGTTATGAAAAGTTCGATCGACAGCGCGAGAGCAGTTGTGTAATTTGCTATCATGTTTGCCGATAATAAAACCCCACTAATTGCACAAACCAAATTATGCCATAAAGTCGTTTTTTCTTCATCGTTATTTGTGGGGAAGGTGGTGAAATCATTTGGGAGAAATAGGCCGGAAATAACAAATGAAAGAGAAATGAGTGAATTGGCGACACTGTAACATATTAATACGAATCCTTGCCGCTTGACTTGTACATATATATTTTGAAAACAAAATACTGTGACTACACAGCAGAGAAGCAGTAACCAAGTTTCCATGAAAGTGTAAACGTATAATAAATATTATTGAATATTGTTGTCAAATTCGGTTATGATATAATATATAAAAGTGTAAATTAATAAAAAGATGGAGTCAAAAAATCATTTTTATCAATGGAATAAAAGATAAAAATGTAATAAAAACCAACGATAGCGATAGATAAAATGAAGGAAAGTGAGAATTTCAAGGAATAATTTTTTTTTTGCAATATTATGTAAATTTTATGCTTGGTTTATCGTTATATTTGTAGCAAACGCAAATATTTATCTTGGTGGAAAAGATAATGTACAAGTGCAAACACAAATACATACGTACGTACTTGTATTTGTCAAATAAATTTGATAACTGCTTTGACATTATTTATATTAATTAGTATTAGTTCATGACTATCTATAGCCGAAAATCTCCTGAAGGTAAATGATAACGATTGATGCCCTTGCACAGTCGCATTAAATGATAGATAAGGAATAACAGGTTCACACATCCCTTTTATGATTTTTAATTGAAGTTATAGCATGGAAATTTAGAATTTAAAGTAAGATCATTTGTGCTCTATTAAAAACTGTGTGATATAACTGCCATTTGGATACAAGATTTGCAATTATTTGTAGTATACTTTTTCGTGTAACAAATAAAGGGAACAACCACTTGGCAGTAACGGTAATGCTCAATAACGATAATTTATTACATATACGTACAAGTACATACTTCATTTATGTTTGATCTTTCAATCAACAATTTATCCGATTTGGTGAACGCAAATTTATTAATTAATAAAGTACAGTAAATAGGGATTATCAAGAAGCAAGTCCTTCCTTTTTATCCAATGTCGAATCATTGTTTTCGGCGTGATCGATATAAAACCGTTCTAGTTTGAATGTCAAAAAACCATCAACAATTTGATTTTCGATATGTTGTACCCTTGTACGCAGAATAAGAAATTTAGCAATCGTAAGTTTGAATCTGGGAATGAATATTAAAACATTATACTCCATAAAGTATATTTATTTATTCACATAAATTCATTAGTCTTGGGGCCATTCTAAGATCATTTGTCCATTGATTTTAATTTTAACTATGTTTAAAACGAAATTTAAAACGAAATTTAAAACGAAAAAGCCCTACACTTGTATCGAAACCAAACTTTTTTAAATTTTCTGACCAACGGGGGTTGACTATGTATAATTAAAGTGAATAAATAATCTCTCTCGCATTTTTTTATGTGACTAAAATTAAATTTGCAGTTACATGTATGGTGCATAACATCTAAAGTCATCAAACGTTTGTATTTTACAAAATGTGTAAACTTCTTTACAAAGAAGTAAATGCAAAATTTAATCCGTGAATATGATAGAATAGGTTCTTTCTGAGCATATTCACGGATTAAATTTTGTATTTACTTCTTAGTAAAGATGTTTATACATTTTACAAAACACAAACTTTAGATGTTATGCACCATAGTGAATATTATGGAATAACTAAAACCCAGCTACTATCGCAATCAGTGTTGACAATGGACCAGGTCCGGTGGACCAATGGGCTTTGGTCCATATTCCGTTACGACGCAGCTTGCATATATTTTCAGTTATCAATGGACCAAGTTAATTGGTTCTCATTGTAATGATAAAACGTTGATCCAATCAATGTTGTCAATGGATCAAAGTCTAGTAATTATACCGAACCAATGGAACAAGGGACTATTCCGGTCCAGTACACTGATCGTAATGGACGTATTCCCAATACGAAAAATCGACTTAGGAAGAAAAATCAGTACACAATACAACACAACTTTACTCTCTTTCTGATCTCGTTGTTTCAATGTCTGTCCAACCAGGTTGCTTTGTAAATTGTTCCAAAACTTCCTTTTGCAAGACCTTCGATATTGGTAAATCTTTCAAAAGAAATTCATTTTAAAAAATATCTAATCCTTTTTTTTTTATTAGACAGTCGGTATCTTCACTATTCAGCTTCAGAACGAAATTCTGAAATTCAAAACATCTCCAGCAGTATTCGAAAAAAAGGGGAGTTCTACCCATATTTGACTTGTTAAAATAAATTACCACGTTTTACAATAGTTTTACGAGAGTTTGTTATAGTTTATCACAATTCAGGGGGAAACCTAAAAAAAGCTGTAGCAATTAACTAATGGTTTAACAGAATCCAAGTGCTAAATATAAGATAAGAGAAAAAAGAAATAATAAAAAAATTAATTTTTTAATATGAAATTATGCGTAAAGGTTTAATAAAATATTCTTGTTATTTGATAGAGATCATATGGATATTGATAACATGAACTGAAAACCCATCCGTCAAGTTGCATGAATGCAACGTACCGGTAGATTGTCCGTTAAATCGACGGATCCGCTATAACAGACAATTTCAATATAACGAATACTCTATGCTCGGAGATGTTTGCTATATCGAAGGTACCTTTTGTATGGAGGGTGCGATTGTGAATACTTATATTGGGATCCTGTTCTTGCTTATATTAATATCTTTTATTGAAAACGTATAGAAATAAATAAGTAAACACACGCCTTCTTTGAAAATATACATTTTTAACGTTAATAATTTTGCGATATGGTAGTGTCCAGATTTAATTCAAATGCATAACCGAATAAAATAGCCGATAAAAAGTACAAATTTAAATTTCGTGAATCCTAATATCATAATTTAATGATTAATAAATAAGAAAATAAAACTGATTTCAATAGGATAGTATAAAAGACATATAAGGAAATTTAAATGTCAAAAGGGGCATAACGATAACGATAACGATAACGATAAGTTAAAGTGGGTGTGCAATGTTGTTACATAGATAGGAACGTGTTCAGCGATCAGCATGTAAGTTATGCGGGTGCAACTAAAGATGCGGTGTTTCACATCAAAGGGGGGGGGGGGGGGGGTGTGAAATGCCGTCTAATTGACGATCATATTGTTTCTGCAACTGTGTAGCACCGTTGTTTGCACCGTTCAACCTTCTATGTCCGACTCCGTCACTTCTATATCAATTAATCTTTTTTCTGCATTACTGCTACCATTTTCAGCTGCAGTTTTATACCACATTTTAGCTTTACTAATAACTTTAGAAACACCAGTTCCTTCTTCATAACATATACCAAGATTGCATTGTCCAGCACCGTTACCATCCTCTGCTGATTTCAAATACCACTCGAATGATTTTTTTCTCATCTTTTTGTGTTCCTACATCATTTCGATAACACCGACCAAGACAACATTGTCCAAGAGCATCTCCACCCTCTGCTGATTTCAAATACCATTTAAATGCTTTTTTCTTATCTTTTTGTGTTCCGATTCCATCATCATAGCAAAGCCAAAGACCGCATTCTCCATTAGCATTACCATTCGAATGCTTTTTCGATTCCATGGTAATAGGGATATCCTAGCAAGAATTGAGCTAAAGAATTCTTATCACTTGATAATTCTGCATAAATGTTCAATGCTAATACAACATTCTTTTCAATTATGAGTCCAGTTTGAAAAAGAAACCCTAAAAGTAGCTTATATTGAGCATTAGTTTCCAAATAGTTTCGAATTTCTGACTATATATGTTATATTACGATTGTAGTTCGGCGCCTATTTTATCTAAATTTTCCCCTTTGCTGAGTAAATTATTTAATAAAGTCACTAACTCGTCAATAATTTTATAATAATCATTTGATATCTCCAATTCTATTTGATTTTGTTTCACCAAACTGTTTTTATTTTCCAATCCTATCCGATTTTGTTTCTCTTAATTGTTTTTGTTTTCATCATCTTCGGCGACCAAATTAATATCCAGAGTAATAGCATCTGAATAGTCTTTAGAATCAGATGATTTAGCTGTTGAAGTAGAAGAACCGGTTGGCCATTCTATTTCTTTAAGTTGTTTGTTTATTTCATAGATATCTGGACGATTTGTTGGTACATCGTTCTGGCATACTTGATAAAGATTAACGTATTTATGTGGAGCTTTGCAGATTCTTTTTTCTGATGAAGAACCAAAAGTATGTTGGTAAATCGGAGGACGACCGCTGGAAATAACCCAAAATAGCACACCAAGGCTGAAAATGTCAGATTTATCATTCCGTCTAAAGTTAGACGTATCTCTTAGAAATGCGGGATCGGTATAACTTATTACGCTCAGATCTGTTTTCGAGTCATTTGAAAGCTTTGAATAGACTAAATCTGAAATTTTAATTTTTCCTTTATGAACATTAGCGTTAGTATTTATAAAATTTAAATAAGGCTTCGCTATACTGAATATATAAAAAATATCAAATCTCGATGAATAATGCCTGCCCTGCATCGTGTATACACTTTACTCCTTTAGCGAGTTGTTTAGCAAAATTCAATTTATCATTGCCACTCCATCAGGGTTCCGTCATTAGCGTATTTCGATACAAGCATGCATCTCTCAGAAATCGGATCTAAAGAACATTGTTTATTAGAGAATTAAAAAAAGATAAAAAAATAATATATTTTACCTTGGGCGATTCCGTAATATTTTTATGATAATTAATTTGAATAACTATAGAATGAGGAATGATTAATACTAGCCAGTCATAAGTGGATTTTTCAACTCTCAAATAAACGATACCTCTTCAATAAACTGTTTGCTACTTTATTTTTTATGTAAAGGCAACCGTTATATCTTCGTCTTTTAACTCAGCTTTATAGACTTCAGAAAGCTTATCAAAATCAAAAAATTTTATTTGTTTTTCTAATTTAACGTATCTCAGGAATTCATTTGCAATATGTGCAGAGGATGAAGATGACATTTTTGGAATTGTTTTTGTTGTCATCGATGTACATGTATTGTTGCGGCAAGACTTTGGGAGAGATTGATAGACTGAGCAGTTATTTCATTCGGTATCTAGAGTCTGTGTCGATATCTACGTCGTTGACTATGTTGATTAGGGAGAAGATTATGTGTTTATGGTGGGTGTTCGGGGATTTCTCTATTGTTGCTTTTTATAGATAAAAGTCTTAAACTCTT